ACGCCCAAACCGGGCGTTCGAATTATTATTATTATTATTATTTATTTTTTATTTTTTTTTTTTTTTTATAAATTCAATTATATTAATATAATTAATTTAAAATATGTTTTATGTTTGTAGGATGTCTAACTGGATGAAAAAATTAGGAATGGGAAAAGGAAAAGGTCCCCTGATTCGTTCTCCTGCAAATCCTGTGGACCAGAATACTGCGGAACGGGAGGGCAGAACGCACAACCGTAATGTTACCAGTTCTAAACGTCGTGGGGAACGGACTGGTGCTTTTGTACAACCGCGTATGACAATTGAGGAGGAGGAGGAGTCAGAGGCAGAGCCCGAGCAGGAGATGGATACATATATGGATCCCCACGAGGACGAGTACGATCCAGGACTACGTTTTCAGCAGAAGTATCAGTTCCCGGTGCCTGATTTGCCATCCGATGATGATGACGAGGACGGTTTGACTCCGCCTCCGCCTCCGGCTTATACAATGGCGGGTACTTCCGGTGGTTCTACTCCTGCCCCAAACCCGAGGTCCCGGCACGGTCCGAAAAAAACTCTTCCTACTCGACCGTGGAAGTTGATTGGTGAGACACCCGGTGGACCAAAATACCCTCATTTGATTCCGAGTTTTGGAGCCCATATTGCCTACGACATCTGGGAGGGAAAGGTAATACTTATTAATTTTAATAATTTTTGTTTAAAATGTTTATAGTTGATTTTTCTATTCTTAAATATCAATATATATTCAATAGGGCCGACATATGCTGAAGTTGCGGTCTCATGCGAAGTCTACTTGGTCGGGCCCCGACGACTATTATAGTGTTTCACTATTGGAGAGTACCGGGTTGTATCACTTGCGTTATTGTTCGCTCCCTCAGCACAATAACCCGTTGATAGAGGCATTTATCGAGAGGTGGCAGCCAGACACCAACAGCTTTCACATGCCGTTTGGAGAGATGACTATTACTCTCCACGATGTGCACTATATCATGCATTTGCGAGTTAGTGGAAAGCGCCCTAACGTTTGGATTGATAAGGCAGATGCGATTTATGCGGGTGCGAGAGCGTTCGGTGTCGAGCCCCCAGTTATGGAGAAATGGTATGGAGGCGGATCCCGGTTAGATGATTTGGATAGGATGTATGGCGACGATTCTTCATTTCCTTCCGAGTTTCGGGTACGAGCATATATTGCGTACTTGCTTGGAAAGCTATTGTTTGTCGATAAGAGTGGATCGAAGGTGAAAGCAGATTTTTTCCCACTTTTAGAGCATATCGATATGATTTCCGACTATTCATGGGGTTCGGCTACATTGGCCTATTTGTATCGACAATTGGGCATGGCTACGCGAGCTGAGGCGGCGCAGATGGGTGGTTGTCTGACACTGTTAGAGGTAATTTTTTATTTGTAGTAACCCCTCAATTTTTTCTTTTATTAATATCACCAAAATGTTATGTTTAATATGCCATTTTATTATTTTTGTAGTGTTGGATATATGAGTATTTTCCGTGTTTCCGACCTCCAATGGTTAACGCACATGTGAATGGAGAGCCATGGTGTAAGAGGTGGCAGGTGATACATCATATCCCTAAAGACGAGGATATACTTGTTGATTATCGTCGACGTCTTGATTCTATGCGTGCGTCAGATGTAAGTATCAAGTTTAAATAAATTAAGATTTATATATTTACTATGTTTATCAATACATTTCTATTATGAATACATACGCACAGGTGAATTGGACGCCATTTGGAGTGAATGTGTCACGTGAAGTTGAAAAGACGGTTCATCACGGGACTATTCGATTGATGGATACGGTCGAGCCTTACATGCCCGATAGAGTTTTGCGTCAGTTCGGATTTCGACAGATTAAACCGTCGGACCCTATTCGTCCGCTAAAAGGTGCTAAGAGGGAGAGAAAATTAGCATCATACAAAATTAGCTACGAGCCTGGCGATCAGATGTGGAATATCCCTCACACGCACATGCTTAATGAAGATTATTATGGTCATTTGGCGCGTCCGGCTTGGGAGTCGACACCGGAGTATTTGCCGTGGTACCTCGACCACACCCACGTCCGTATACATCCTAGTACCGAGCCGGTTGAGAGAGCGGAGCCATCTGCAGTTCCGTTTGTGTACGACATCACCCGGGTGTTGCATCCCTACTTCTACGATAACTTGCCACCCCCGACTATTCCAGGATTTCGACAGATTCCCGATGACTTTTTCAGGACGATCCAGGACATGTGCGCCCCATTCGCCGAGTATCTACAGTTGGATCGTCCTAATGCTTCTGAAGAACAAGAAGCAGGATACTCACATATGCGACATTCTCAGCGGAGGCGTCGGACGAGAGATACGTAGGTGTTTATTTTTTATGTTTTTATTATTCGAACTTCTTTGGTGTTGATGTTTTTTGCTTTGATTTGGACTTGTTGATGTTTTGTGTTTTTTTAGTTGGACTTGTGTTGTTTATTTGATTTGGACTTGTTGTTTGATTTATTTGGACTTGTTTATTTGATTTATTTGGACTTGTTTAATAATAATAATAATAATAATAATAATAATAATAATAATAATAATAATAATAATAATAATAATAATAATAATAATAATAATAATAATAATAATAATAATAATAATAATAATAATAATAATAATAATAATAATAATAATAACAAGAACAACAAGAACAAGAACAACAAGAACAACAAAAACAACAACAACAACAACAACAACAACATCAACAACAACAACAACAACAACAACAACAACATCAACAACAACAATGACAACAATAACAACAATATTACTAAATCAAACACTAGTTAGAATATCCCACGCTTCGCGTCGCTCCCGCAATGCATCTGGCAAATATGCAACAGTATGATTGTTGTATCTCGCCCACTGCAGGTTAAACGGAGGAAGCGGACAGTTGTCATTCAGCTTCAGATACACAAAGTGGCTTCCTGCTTCAAGAAATAGTATAGTCATCTGGTAAGATAACTGTGAAACACCTTCGGGAGCCCAAAGTGGCAAATAAGTCTGATTTCCCAAACTACTAGCCGACAAGACCAACGCGTTGTAATATGTTGCTACAACCACGCCCACGTCCGTGATCGTCATCCACTTTTCCAGAGGTGCTGGGGCGTTATCCCAATAGCCGACACTCGCCAACACCCGATACGCTGAATTACCACCTCCGAAATAATCATTGAAAAACGTCATATGCTCTCTAATACATGTATACACTTCCAATCTAACATCCATCCAATCATCCTCACTGTTCTTGACTGCACACGCCACGCTCCGATAACCACAATTACCATCCCCTAGAACGTCCGTCCAGGTCACAATCTCCGGAACGAGGCAAAAATGAAGTTCTCGCATCCAACTAGGTCGGGGCATTCTTCTCATTTCGGGTCCACTCACAGTCGATGAACGACCACGAGATCTCTCAGAAGATGAACCACGGCCTCTATTGCCTCTTGATAGTCCTCGTCCTCGTCTCGAATTTTCTTCGCCCGGGTATAATGGCAACTCATGTGATGAGTCATCCCTCTGTGTGGAGTTCGTCCGCGGTCTACCTCTCGGGCGGTCAAGTACTGGTGGCTCATTTATTTCCGTCGCCCCAGGATGCATTCGTTCAAAACGACATCTGCCACGTCCGTGATCTCAATTTCTGAACGTGCACGTAACTCATCAATTAACCCGTCTAGCCTACCAATAGCCTGTGACCTGTGATCGGGTACTGAACCAACACTTTCTTCTTGGCCAGGCCCGAATCCCGAAACAAATGTCCTCCAAAAAATGTGGACATCCTCCGCATAAAACACACCACGTCGTGCATTCATCTTTGCGTCAATTTCATGTTTGCATGGGAGGCCAAGACATTTCCTCATGTAACAGACGCAACTGTCTATATCTTCATCTTTCTCATCGTCCAACATCATTAGTGCATAATGTGTTACAATTCCACTGGACAATATTTTAAATACGGGCACATTAATCGTATGGGCCCGAATCCGCTTTGACTTCGCAAATTCTGCCAGAATCTCGTTAAGTTGGTCTGCAATCTGTGTGTGATACTGTGCCCAAAATGTGTCAAAGCCACCTGTGAACGAAGCCAACCATCTCTTCAATGCTCTATGGGCGCTCTCCACCCTAATTTGATTAAAGTAGGTTATGTTTCAGTAAACAACAACACATTGAGTTAAGTATATGTATTTAACCACTGATAAATAAATACCTGCTTGTCGATGTATTGCCGAGATGAAAAACTAGATCCGTCCATGCTTTTACAAATTTCTCTTTGTATATCAGCCAAGTGTCTTGGAGGTACTCAATCAACTGTGGATGATTCGCGTAATCGTTCACTAAAACTGTATAATTCCGGTAGAAATCTTCTTCACACACTGATGTTACCAAAGTTTGCCACGGACCGACTACAAAAGCAAATCCTCGACGCCTACTATTGCCAAAACACTTTGAAGCACGACGCCCCACATTCATGTTAATGTGCCAAAGACATAATAGATGAGGCACAGTCGGAAATACATTCTCTATCGCCTTTAAGAGCCCTAACTCGCGATCAGTCACGAGTGCACTAGGTAGAGTATGTGGGGGGAAAAGTCTCTTCAACCTTTGCAACACCCATGTATAATGCTCTTCATTTTCATGGCGCATAAAAACCACTCCAACAGTAAAAAATTTTCCGACCGGAGTAACACCAACAATCTCCAACAAAGGCAATTTGTACTGATTGGTTTTGTAAGTACTGTCAAGTAGTATAACGTACGGAAACTTACTTAACAATTCGACAGATAGAGGGTGAGCCCACATCAAATCGATAACTGCATGTGTCGTTTCATCTGTACGGAACCACTTGTAATAGTTATGCTCCTCAAGCAACTCAATCAAATATTGCATCACTGTACGGTCACCCCTAGCTAATCTTCTCAACTTCGCCTTTTCATTGTATATTTGTTTCGAATAAGCATCGAGACCCAAGCCATTTTTCCTCAGGTTAGCCAAAATCTTCTTGGGCGGCACATGACTTTGTGAAAGATCCTTGATAATCTTCGACTCCGCTTCATTCAATGCACTAAGCCCATGCCCAGACGTGTATATCGGATGATGATTGTGCTTCCCATATACTGTTCTGAGCTCCCATCTATCGTCCAACCGCCGGCGTCCGACCATTTGAAAACCACATTCTATTTTTTTGCTACCAGACCTTTTCGAGGACGGCTCTGCGTTACTTCCTCGAGGCTTTCCGAACAAGTCACAAGTCAGACACACTTTATTTATTTTGGGGGTACTTTTTCTAATTAATTTCACGAAAAGAGCTCTTGCAACGGACCGAGCCCAATCCAGTAACTCGTCCCCCGAGTCAAACAATTGAGTTGTTGTAAAATAATCG